AGTGAATTCTTAATGCTCAGAACGTTTTTCTTTTCGCTCCGGATGATAGTCCGCTCAAGCTCCTAACGCACAGGTCACGTTAATTTTAGTCGCCGAGCTGGCGACTTGCGTTCTAATATTTAGTCGCCAGCTCCAAAATTCTAGTCGCCATGGCGACTAAAATGGTCGCGACTTGGAGGGTTGGGATTTCAAGGTCAAGGGACAAACTCACGTCCTGTTATTTTTTTGTCTTAATTTCCTCAGCCTAAGAGTTTGATTAACCAGCATACAAGTAAGAACTCTCTCATTCAAAAAAAACAAGGAATTTTACCACAAAAGATAATTCATCTTGTTTTTGTTTACACTATAAACAGTCCTTTCTTTCAAATAATTCTAGCAGATGAACGCAGCTCGCCTAGTGCCTATTTCGTCTCTTTTTAACATGCGTGAAGTGTCAACTCACCAAATCTGTACATGATTGTAGTCATCCAACTGCAGCCCTCCCTACAGGGTGTGCACTGGTAAACAAAACCAAACAAAAACAATACTGAGATACAGAAGTACAAGTAGACCTGATCACAGGATGAATTCTCCAAAGTGGTCGACACCAATTTCTAAGTAGACTGCTTATGTGAATTTCATTTCAAAAATCTTCGATAATAATAGACGTAAATACCAAACGGTGTAGAGAAACTTCTCAATGTGACTTTTACATTATTACATCTTTTAGGCCAACACTCAGTGGTTGTCTCCAGACTCACCTGACCACAGCTCTCATGTTTGTAGAACTCGATAAGCCGGGCAATAGCAAGGATAAGATCACACTGAAGAAAACACACAAACATTGAGAGTAAATATTATTTTACTATGACCTGAGAATGGGGGTTGGGGGAATATACAAAGGCCACGATTGTTGAGCTTTGGTTGCTTTTTTTTTTACATACAAAACTCAGGAACCAATCAAAACCAGCTGTTATTTGACAGATGTAGCTTTTGACTCATTAAGACACCACGCCATGGCCCTTTTTGAAACATAAAGCTAACTACAGAAATTGCACAAACAGAATACCTGCTTGTTCATGACTATAACAGCAGCTGTTCCCAAACCAGTCTGTGCCTCGACAAGAGCATCAAAGTCCATCAACACATCTTCACAAACACTGCAAGCAACAACAATCAGTTCTTAAATGCATGTCTCCCGATAACACCTTAGGAAAGATATTAAAATTTATTAAACTTTCTTACACATGTGGAAGCTAGCACTGTAGGCAGATTAACTGACTGCCTATTCTTCATCAGGGAGAGTACAAGTTAGGTGAATTTAAGATGATA